CAGGACATAAGCAGCTCATATAGGAAATCTTATGCATTATTGCTTAGATTTACATGACAATAACCTCGAAATTGACACTCATGATGATCTTCATCCCTAAAGCATTTATTAGTGAAAAATCAACTCTTCACCCTTGCCTCAAACGGTCACAAACAAACTGTATATCAACAATATGACAAGTAAACCCGCTTGATTCATGAGTAAAAACACATCCAAACCGTATGATTTCTATTTTTAACATTTTTTTTAAGAAGAATAGTACTGTGGATCGGTTAAGAAACCATTTCCTAGAATAAAAGTTGATTCAAAGACCAGGTTGACCCCAAAAATCATCACAGCAAAAGACAAACCAACGAGTAGTTAGGACTCTACTCTCATAATTTCAAACAGAGGTTGCTTACCTCAAGCTCAGAAGAATCATCAGAAGAGTCATCAACACCTAATAGCACGTTTCAGTTCTAATGATAAGTTTATATATAAACAAACAAAATATGAATTACTTCCATAATTCGTTTTTTAGGGTTAGGGTTTTGAAGAGTAAAGGAGAAGAAGAGAGTTGCGTACAGAGAAGGCGAGAGGAGAGTCGAGGACTGGGTTATGAGGGCAGGCGACGCAGGCGAGCTTGCCACTGGAGAGCTGCTTGCAATCCGAGGAAGAAGATGAGGGAGAAGAGAGCATGAGATCGTCGACTCTCCTCTTTCTGTATTGGGCCTCTCGGGCCCAGCTATCTCCTCCGAACGCGCTCATCTTTCCTTCCACCCTCCGAGCCTCTGGCTTCCCCTCTCTCCGCCTGACGTCCTGTGGGAGCTAGAGAGGAGGGATGCTTGGGGGCTGTATCTATTTCGAAGCCCAGTCGCTAACAATGGCGCTTTTCAAGGTAAAAGAAGCCCAATGGCAAGAAACATGTGCCCTCCGAGTCTAGGATCCGACAACTACATTACGCCTTTTTCTTTGTTATTCTTGTAGAGGAAATTTTCATGTAGACCCGTTATAACTTTTTATTACCGAATTCGACCTTGTTGAGTTTTATTTAGCGGAATCGACCCGGTTTCTCGCGACGTCAGCGTCGTGGTGAGAAAGCGGGTCGATTAATTTTTAAACGGCCTCGTAAACAGTCGGGGTTGGCAACCCTGACTGTTTAGTCCATCCGCTACGAAACACTTAACTAATTGGTCGGGGTTGGGGACCCCGACCAATTCGAAATATTTTGAGACCTCCTTCCAGCCCAAATTCACCTGGAAACTCATACTTCCTGTAGTACAAAATGTAATCACAAATAACACATGCTAAAATGCAACCATACTCCTGTTATCAATCCACAATGCAATCACAAACACAAATATCATACGTACAATTCATATTCGCAAACTTAACATTATATCAAATCCATCGCAACACAAACAACATATCAAGTCCAAATTGCAACTCAAACGCAAACATCCTATCAAGTACATCAAAACTTAACAAATATCAACAACGCCCTTTTCCCCTCCCTCTCCATCTCCCTCTTCCTCCTCTCCCCCTTCCCCGTTCACCTTCGACGTGAGCTCGGATAAGTTCCTCGTCCGATTGTGTGTGAAGTTGGGAGCGCATGACATCCGCGTCGACTCAAACCACCTGTGAACATCCCGCCCGAGCCTGCTGTGCCGTGTGTCCTCGTCGACGTCGCCGCCTGTACTCAATTGGTCGCTTCTCTCGTCCATCGCGGCTTGCATTACGCGTCCTCTGAAGAGCGGACCGTATCTTTTTTATCATTCTAAGGAACGTGTTCCTCGGCTCCTGCTCGGTAGTCAGAGTGTTCGCGGGGAAAACTGTTGCTTTCTTCATTAATGAGATAATTGTCATCTTGGATTACAAAGATCCGGTCTTTTATAGATCCGGTTACAACTAAATCAAAGAAAGAAGAAAAAAAAGTAAAAATTACAACTTTGTTTCCTTGTGAACAAATCGCGAGCTCCTGTTTTGCGGCCGCTCGCTTGTGTGGGTTCTTTGCCTGCGCCGGGTGGACCACCGCGCGATCTAGATCCGGTCGGATCTACACGATTATGAGGGTATTATTCCACGAAGGGAATAATAGCCGGGAGGGATTAATCCACCAAGGGAATAATCGCTCGGATCTCGAGATCTAAGACCAAGCTTAGATCTGGAGTATGACCTTGTGTAGATCTCAGATCTGTTCTTTCTTTCTCTCGAGATCCTGCCTTTTCTGACGTGGATGGTCGCCGAGGATCAGATCTGTACGTCCAAGTCTTCAAGTCTTCAAAACTCTGAGTTTGCTCTTCAATCCGGCAGAGTTTCGGCTCTTGAAAGTTCGACCTCCGAAAATGAACATCTCTAGGCCTATTTATAGGCTCTCAGGACAGTGGCTGCAAAAAGGGAATTGTCGGCCACCGTCGGCCACTGTCGGCCACCTCTGGGTGGCCGGCACTGTGCCGAGCCACC